AGAGAGAGAGAGAGAGAGAGAGAGAGAGAGAAAAAAAATGAAAGATAGTGAAAGAGAGAGAGAGAGAGAGAAAGATAGTGAAAGAGAGAGAGAAATAGATGGAAACTTAAAGACAAAATATAGTAGACGTAATACTCACATAACGCTTTAATAATTTGTAAATCAAGAGCTCAGTCCTTAACAACAAAACTTGTGTAATCACTAATCAACAAGACCTACTCTCATTTTAGGTTTCAATACAGTAAAACCCTTTTAACGTTTCACGGATGATTTGAATTTGCAGATGTCTTTAAAAGTCACAAATTAATGTCGCACATAAAAAAACAACCAAAACTCCATACAAAGTATCCTTTGATCTTGGACAACATTTTTTTAAGTCCCCAATTTAATAGCAGTTCAATTCCTTACTTCACATTTCGCTCTTTTAACCCTTTCTATGCTTCACCCTCCTGCCTTCTTAGTCCTGTGGAGATGGTTTAAGAGCCACATGCCTGGAGCTGTCCAGGGCATAGTCTCACTGTTTCTCTAGTGATCTGACAGTGTTCATAAATTCCCGTTCTTGATGTTATGTCAGTGACTTTCAATGTCTATTTCCCACCGTATTGCTACAACAAGTAAGTTCTAAGCATTTTATATTGATAGCATTTGTATAGCGCAAAATTCCCACTCAACAGCAAGCTCTATGCGCTTTCCAATCTATACTATTACCCCAGCAGACCTGATAGCATTCTAAAACAATCTTAACTTCCTGGGAAGCATGCAGTGCAAGCTGCCATTTATAGACAAGTTCCGTCAAACATACTTTTTTTTGCCGGAACAGATGAGTGGCACAGAAGGCACCAAAGCAAGGAACTAAGCCACTTCTAAATAAAAGGCTAAAGCAGGTTCTCAATTAAGGAGGAAAATCCACTTATAACAAGCTGCTATGACCACTGAAAGTCAAATAAACAATGAGAAAGAACATCTAGTAAAGTACAGTTCGACACATCATATCATAAGGCAATAAGGAAAAGACACACACACAAAAGGAAACAAAAGTTTAACCGAGCTGTGTACACATATCTTGCCATCATTTCAGACTTAGTGCACTAGTTTTCCTTCCTTATACTTAGAACTTCCTTCAGTGGAACACACATATCTTAAGAAATAGAAACACTTGATATCTGTCTATGTGCATGCACAAAGTCAGGGGAAGTCGAAAGCAAAGGCACAAAGCCATTTCAGTGACAAAGCGATAAAGATCTTACTGGAACAACAGCAAACTAAAACTTGAATTTAAAAGCTCTTATAAGTTTGAGTCCCTAAAGCCACTATTATGAAAGGTTTCGTTCTTTTTCATACCAATATATTTCATTAGCTAAACTAGGAATGTCATAAATTAGGGTAATACAAGACATTTCAACAGGTAACAACCAAAAGATTTAAATAAACTCTGAAAATGTTAACTGCAGCTCTCATGTAACTGGTCAAAATCCAGTAAGCAAAAAGAAAATCCTCAAAATATAAGTGAAAAATTGAAAGGCAAAAGAAAATAAAACTACTGCATCCTTCAGTGCAAGTCCTCCTTAAGCAGTGACTCGAAAAAGTCCAAGCATTCATCAACTTGTCAAGAACAGAGGTGACATTTTAAACCAGAAACTCAAACACAAACACACCAAAGAGTTACAAAACTATACAGAAAAAACACTAATGTGAAACTTAGGACTAACGGGGAGACAGATTAACACAGTGAGCAGAGACATACTTGGAGTCCAGGCGTGTAGCATTATCGTCTGTGGTGGGTTCGTTGATGCACTGAAGTAGGTCGCAGCGAATTTTGCGTAGCAGTGGAGTGCAGTAGTTCTGCCCAATGTGCAATCTCTCCTCCTTTGTGATTCCATACTCCTGGAAAACAAACCAAAAAATGTACACATCTCCATCTTAAAATCCTTCAGTTTGTTACAACCATAACTTAACATCAATAAAGGAACAGGCAAAAAAAAAAAGAGTTAAAACAAACAGAACACGAGTCCAGTTAATTAGTCTTACTACTCTCCACTGCCTACTAGGCATTCCAGCTCATTACCTGAGGTATGACAATGTCTGCCAGAGCTTTGCTACACATGAACAACTCCTGAGCTCGTTTGAACTGTAGCGTCTTTTGATTGTGCTGGAGGTCGTACTTGATGCAGTCGTAAATGTCTGGGATTTTGCTGATGTCAAACCGACCATTCTTCAAGCGGAAATCTTTCTCCAGTTTGGCCCAGCGTCGGATGAGAAGTTCCCAGGACTCGCCATTAAACAAGGTCAGATCTGGAAACCATGAGGGACGGACAAAAGCAAATGAAGAGGATGTATGCTTATTAACTTTACACCATTCTCAACATGATACAGGTTATATGTAAAAGGAAATTTTCTTTCTTGAAATATAAAAAATTCCACTGTGAGAAAAGAGAAGCATACAGACACAATAACCGCCATTTAAAGCAAGGAAAAACATGACAGGCAAAATCAACAGAGAAGAAAAGAAAAGTAGGACGTACTAGTGACCTCTTCCCACCATCAATGAAATATTATGAACAGTTTATCCCCACAAGGCCCTATCATAGAAGGAAAAGAGCTGTTCCAAGGGGGAAATTCAGTAAAATCCCAAACAAAACCCTACAAGAAAGTAAAAGTGACTTGCTACACATAAAAACCCCCAAAGCCTTACAGGGTAAAAATTAGGTCGTTATTGTGCTGATTTTCGGTAAACTCAAATTAACAGCAACAACCAACAACAGCACACCACCTACAATAATAACAGCAATCATCAATGAACAAAAACACCACTAACCACAACAGTAACTCATGGCTACTCTAGAATTGTTTCACATGTCAAGACTTTCCAAATGCAATTCTTTGAATATCTTGATAACAACAAAGAATAAGCTTACGATTTTGATAGAGCAGATAAAACATTTTTTATCAGACATCATGGTCTTAGTAACTCAAAACAGCCAAAAATGTCCGATAGAGCTTTGAAATTCTAAGGTAGCATCCTGTTAAAACCTTCACCTCTTGACTTGAGCTCCATCTTAAGACACCTGATGCGCGCCGTGATCTCCTTGATCATCTCATGCACCCGGGCGCACATCTGGAACGGGTTCTTCACAAACTGCATGGCGTTGACCAGGGAGATGCTGTTCGTTGCTGCCAACTGGAGAAAACACACATCGTCATATCAAGGGAACACACTCATAATATACCCACCCCTTTTCCCATCATACCATGGCCAAATACTAATGATGTACCACCCACTTCTGTCCACTGCCGAGAATGTGTCATTTCACTGGAATATACTAATCCCTGAAAATGTCTCTGAAGGACTTCAATTTAAATACTTCAACTTGGGAAAGCCTATCTCCTGACAGACGCAGCTGGAGAGCAGTAGTCACAGTGGGTAGCAAAGTATATGAGGCTTCATGAATAAGAAATGCCAAGATAGATGCCTGCAAGCTGTGCACATCCATATGTTTTAGTTTTAGTAGAGGTTTTACGGCACTCGCAACTGCATAAGGTCATATGAGCGCCAAGGGTTGCATGTCAACAGAGAAGTCCTTACAGGGAATCAGGTTTACTCTGCTCAACTCTCTAGCTTAAACAGCACAAAGCATCAAGGCACCCCGGTAAAAGCGGGTCACAAGAGTGTGACAAACATACAAAAGAAGTAGAGGAAAATGATGATAGTAAGGTTTAGGAAAAAAAAGCAGAAGTTCCCTGCTGCAGTTCAGGCACAGTTATGAGAATTATGAAAAAGTACAAAAAACCCCCAAAATAATATCACTTGAATAATTTTTAGACTGTGCGTGATTAATGAAAGTAACTCAACCCATAAGTGTACAAAAATAAATTACAACACTAATGACTATAGACCAAATTCCTATGGATGTCAGTATATCCAAAAAGCAGTGATTAAAAAAAAAAACTGGCTTGGGATCGCAAAAAGTTAAAAAAGATGCCGTAAATAGGTAATCTTATAGCTTCTATGAAAAGAAAAAAAGTTCATCCAACATTGCCATTTCATTGCTGGTCTTCATCCTGCAAGAAAAAAAATAATAATGCTGCACTGTGGGACAGTTGGGTAATATACTTCTTCTGACTGTAATGTATTCAACACTTATCTGTACCTTGCAGAAATCAGATTCTGTGAAATCTCGGTCTTGATTGAAAATCTCTTTCAGTTTTTCTTTGACCCTGTTGAAAAAATGAGAAAAAAAGAAACCCAAAAATAAAGTCAGATATAAAAGAAGAATCAGCAATGGTCACCAAAAAAAATGGAAAGATAGCTCATTTTGATTTAAGCGTCTCTTTAGCCTTGTGGTTAAGCTGCATGATGGGTAACCATAAGGGCATGGGTTCCATCCAAACGCAGGCTCAATGTTTCATCCTTAGGAAAGAACATCATTCAAAAGTGCATTGAGACTCTGCTTTAGAACAAGGATATGCATTACATAATTTAATCTTCGTAATTATTATTTTTACATCCAGCTTTTCCATACATAGATGGCTAAACACAAAAACTTTTCTTCGACACTGACCAGACCTACCAGCAGGGTTATAAATTCAAACGTCATTCCATGATGATTGTCTATAAATGAATGAGGTGGTAAATGGGATTTGGTTTGTACTCCCACAGATTTTGCAATAGCCTAGGCATGCGTAGGGTCTAATGGGTTAAGCACTTGTGTCACGATTCTGAAAGTATATTCCACTTTCAATCCCCCCCCCCCCCCCCCCCCCACCCACACCCATGGCAGTCAAACTATCTGATACACTTTCAGTCCTCCCCTCCATGGTACATATACATGCTTTATTTGGTACTCTTTAAATCCCCCCTCCCATACTCACACTTCACACAATCTGCTATCTTTTACACTTTCAATCTCATGGTACTCATATATTTGGTACACTTTCAATTACCCCCCCCCCCCCCCCCCCGAAAATAGTCAACACTGTCTGGAAAATTTTGAATCCTCCCCCTCCCCCAACCACACACACCATGGTACTCACACTATCTGATACACTTTCAAAACTCCTCCCCCCCCCCCCCCCCACCCACACACACACCATGGTACTCACACAATCTGGTACTTGGAGGTGTTGGACTCTCCATCCAGCAGACCGTTGGTGTTAGCGCTTTTCACCATCTGCACCACAATGGGGGTCAGCTCTCCTTCCAACGCCAGCAAACCCTACAGATACAAGCACACACACACATCAGAAATAAATGAACAAACAAAGAAAATGCGCTTGTAAACAGTGACAATGGTTAAGCCAGTTGGAAACACACCACTCACGGTCATTTGTAAGAGTTTTAAGGCACTTGCAACAATAAGGTCCTATAAGTGCCAAAGATTAGAGGTGTTACAAGGGAGTAACAAACACAAAAGAGAAGGAGGGGAGATATAGACGATAGATGTTTGATAGGAAAGAAGGAGCAAGGAGCAAACAACACCAGAGCACCCGCCAGTCACCCACACTCACTGTTATTCATATAATATTCCTTCACTACCAGTTACCAACTACACATTTGTGGCTGAACCAGGAATCAAACTCAAAATCTTGTAATTGAGAGTCAGCAGCATCCTACCACCGGACTAGTTTAAATCAATGGCTACACGCAAGACTCCAAAAAATGCTATTTAGTAATTTTGGCATTTGTAAGAGATTTGCATCGAGCCATAGAATTGTTCATCTTTTTTCATTCACGGAGACTAGGCACCGTATCACATAAGGGCATAAAAGAGACATGGTGTGGGGTTTTTACTGTTAAAAGTGGCATAAAATTCACAAAACAAGTAAACAATTTGATACCATAAAATTACAAAGTTCTATCTGACGTTTCTGGCTGTTTTGAGTTAAGAAGACCATGAGGTCAGAAACTAAATGTTCACTCTATCAAAACCGTAAGATTATTTGGAGTTGTTATCAGGAAATTCAAAGAATTGCATTCGTAAAAGCTTGACATGTAGTGAAACCCAAAATTTTTGACGTCAAATTTCTCAAAACTAGGCACTGAGTAGATAGAACTTTGTAATTCTAGAGTAGCGAACGGTCTTTACCTTAGTAAAAGCAGCAGCGGTCATCTGAACCCTGCCCTCGTCCGATGCGTAGATCTTGAGGTCATGTCTGAAGGTACTGTGTAGTCGCAAGAAGCCCAGGCCAGGAGCCTCAAACTGACCTGTCAGTTTTCGTTTAGATTTAGTATGAGTTTTATGGCACTTGCGACACAGTTAAGTCATATATAAGTGCCAAAGTTAAAAGGTAATACTAGATAAATATAAGAAACGAAGGCGGAAAGACAAGGACTATAGATCTTTGAGAAGAAAGAAGGAGTAACCACACCAGAGCTCTCGCTGTCTAGCCCATTCTGACCTGCAAGATGAGACAACTTGTCAAACTGAAAGAAATAACTGGCTAGTCATGTACACTTACATGCAGAAGTAGGTGCTTTTCTTCTTTTGTTTTTTCCATTTTCTTAAAGATAATCTTTTTCTTATTACTTTCTTCTTCTTTTTCTTCTTCTCTTTCTTTTTCATCCTTTTTTCCCTCTTATTCTCATTCTACTTCTTTTTCAAAATCATATTTTTCTTCCGTCTTCTGCATCTTTTCATTCTTAATTTTTCCTTTTCCTTTTTCCTGTCTTCATCCACCGCATCCCCCCCCCTCCCACTAGATTTTAAACCCAGCTAATTGACAGCAGGCTCAAAAGGTACTCTTATCTATTAATATTGACCCCCTGAGTGGCCGGAGAGTCTTTAGTTCTCAGAAGTGATAGAATGCGCAATCCCACTTTCAATCTGGTAAGGGAATCTAAAATCATGGGTGGTGCGGTTGTTTTTTAAACACCCACATAAACATGAAATACATCATTCAGGAGGCGGGCTTCCAACCCTGCCAGTCAGGGCCAACCCAGGCTGAGAGGGATACAACATCCCAGAAGAGACAAAGACACTCGATAAAAATTTCTCCCCACTCGGGAATGGAACTCAGGTCTCCTGCATGCGCCAGCGAAGTGCCACAAATGCCGAAAATTGAGGGTGGAAAAGAAATATTATCAACTGAGTATGACAATATACAACTAGGAGGAATTCAACCAGGTGCTCTCGTTAAAGAAAGAGCATTATATTTCTTCACGACATTTTGCAGACTCAGTGCCCTACTTAACACAAAATAAGTCACTTCACAGAAGAAGCACTTGGTTCCCCATCAGAGCACTGGTCTCTTTAAGGAACATTCAGAGCCCAAACATCGAAACGTTGATAAAGTTCTTCAGCAAGTGCCATCACCACAGGAAACTGGTAATAGTATTAATATAAAAGTGCTTTCAATACTACCTGGATAGATGGAGTCAGGGAAAAACTAACAACTCAAGGCATCCCCCAGACCCAAGCTCTCCGGCTGAAGGCAGAGACGTTTCTTTCTTCCCGCGACACCCAAAACAGTAGAGGCAGCGGAAAAAAGTAATGTCAGTAAAGTAAGCTTTCAATACTGTAAGGTTGTTTAATGAAGCGGAACCTCCGAATTTTATATCCAACTCTAATAGAACTTATCTAAGTTAGTGACAAAGATTCAATTAAAAAATAATCAGGATTTCATTCAACACTACACAATGCTCTTATAAACATGCTGATGGTGAATCTCAAGACAGGGACAAACATATTACATTCTAAATATCAGTAGTGGCACAGCAGTAAGGGATTTGATCAATGCCAAATTCTAAACTCGATTCATCAGCTGCATATGTTTTACCCAATCCAAGCTGAACGGGAAAACAGCATCCGAGCAGAAAGACAGATAGAATCAATAAAAATATAAAATAAACTTCCCCACACAGAAACTGAATTCCTGTCTTCTGCATGCAAGGTACATAGGCACAGTCAAACTGTTACACTTCAAAGGGTGGTACTCCTGACATGTCTCGAGGAAATCTCTTCAAAACTAAAGTGTTCATGGGAAAATTCTGCCTCGATCGTTTCCAGGGAAAGAGACAAGAAAGAACCTATAGAAACTGGACAATGCATGATTATGCTTTTCAAAGCTTTTGAGTAGAGTTTTCGAAGCTAATAGAAGCAATAGTTGAGGTAGTGGTAGTAGTAGTGGTTGTGGAGGCAGGTTGCAGTGGTGGTGGTGGTGGTGGTAGTAGTGGGAGTAGTAGTAGTAGTTGTAACAGTGATAGTGTTGGTGGAGGTAGAAGTAGTGGCAGAAGTAGTAATGGTAGTGGTGGTAGTTGTAGTGGTAGTAGTAGTGGCAGTAGTAGTAGTTGCAGAGGTAGGTAGAGTACCAAAAATCAGCAAAAGAATAATCAAAACTTGCAAGGAAGAAACATTGAACAATGATATAAAAAGCTGAGGGTTGAGGAAGAAAGACCAGGCAACACCAGAACACCAACCAACCAACCAACCAATCACCTAACAAGCTAGAAAGTATAGACACAAACATTAGATTGCTTTCACAAACAATAGATTGCTTTGTCTTTTTCTGTATGAGTTCTTTGTCAGATTACGAGTGTATATGTATTTGAAAAAATTGTTATACGATGAATGGGCCAGTATGCATGAAAGGTCGATTTAAACCTCATTTTACTGAGAAGCACTAGGAGCCACCAGTGAGTGGGTGTTACAGAAGTCATCTTCACTATCATCCTTATTATTAAAAAAAGACATGAAAAGAAGCAGAATACTCTAAACAGAAAAAAGCACTTGCCAACCAGCTAAAGGCAGAAGAACATATTGAAATTTCAATCAAAGATGCAATAAAAGGACAATTTGAGCGATAAAACCCCCCCAACAATTTAACGTTAGTAAGCGTTTACAGCACTGCAACACAATTAGATCATAAAAAAGCAAAAGATTAGAGGGGTTACAAGAGAGTAACAAACACAAAAAAAAGAAAGAGGAGAGAAAATGACGATAGCTGTTTGATAGGGAAGAAGAAGCAAACCACACCAGAGCACTAAAAAAAAATAAAAGCAACCCAAAAAACTATTTTAAAAAACAAACAAAACAAAACAAACTACAATCTAGAGCAGGCAGTGGCAAATATACACTCAGCACTCCCATGCTCACCCTGACCTCCGGGGTACAGCGTGCGGAACGCCTTTCCCAGGTTCTCCGCCTGGATCCTCCCGGCAGGAGTCAGCTCCCCTCCCCATTTCAGTATCAGGACCAGTGACGGGTCACGGGGCGCATCATCTGAGGAAGCAAGTGGAAAAGACAAACTGTAAATAATACAATACATATGACAGAATAAATAAAACTAATTTCTTTTTTTTTTTTTAAGTCAGGTATTTTCTTATTAAGACAAATTCTGAAAATATTGCTTTGACAAATACAACAACCTTACTTACTTAAACTAAACAGATGTACTGAACTTTTAGTTTAGACAGCCAATGCATCACATTTATGATTATAAAAATATATAAATATACATAGATTGATGTCTGCTTAAACAGAACACAGTCAATCAGTTAATCTTATAACAGCAGAAAACTGAAAAAAAATGAAATCCACAATACTTTTCCTTTCTATTTGAACAACCTCTCTAAACTGAAAAAAAAAACCCCAAACCCAGCAGCTATCCCGAAAAATGCTGTTTTGAGAAAATCGAAGGTAAATCTCATCAGATAATATAATACTATATAAATTATGACCATATCAAAACAGAAGTCTTCTCCTTACACATCTAAATCCCACACAAATGGCTACCCACACGACTCGCCAGTGAGCTAAATTAAATTAGTATTTATCTAACCACAGTTTTGACTTTGTATGGTCATGGTAGTGTCAAGACTGGATTAGGTCTGCTTCAGAAGAGTCACGGTAATGAAAACAATGAATAAAAAGTACACTAAAATTGAGCTGTATCATATTTTATCGAACCATGAACAGTTCAAAAGAATGTACCTAGATATTATATACATATATTTTCTCGATTCAAGGTTCTTTATTCTAAATTTTGTTCTTTATTCTAATAATATCTTTAAAAAATTATCCTTCTTAAAATCAATTATATCAAGAAGAACGTGATGAGTTTACATTCAAATATTAGATGATTGAAGCATTTCATCTCACTCATCAAATTGCTCTAAAATGTGGTTAACAATAAAGTATTATAAGTATCCAGCACATACAGTAGACTCCTCCCCTATCACCTATCACACATAGTATGTAATATATGTACACGTGACACACAGTTTGTAATAATACGTATACGTATTAATAAAATACCCATAAAACACATACAATAGATCTATTATAATAAAATAAATTCAATAATTCTACAAAGACAAAATGCCTTTTACTCTGTAAGACTAATCTAAACCAGAAACTTTTAGTAGCCGGAGGTTAACAAAAATAATCTCAAAGACAGATTAGAAAGGGTTAACCAACTCTGGGTGGTTAGAACCAAACTCATGTAAAGCACAACACACCTATAATAACGTCTTATAGGGCTAAAAAACAAAATCCAAAACTTATGCAGGATAGAGATGGAGGAGGGGAGGGGAGGGGTGGGGGAGAGATATATATAGTAAAGGTTGGGAATCAAGCAGACCTTAGCAAAAATGGTTTTTACTTAATAGAAACACTGCTTTTTTTTTAAAGGAAAAGTCTTTTAAAAGTGAAAAAAAAGACGCCATCTATCAGAAATAACCCTATCTCAAGGTAACAAATGAAACAATCTAAAAGTGATGTTCCATATTATACCTTGAACAAAATATGCACAACCCCCCCACACAAAGAATCATAGAAAAGTCTTCTGAAAAAAAAGTGCTCTATGAGAGACATACAACCTCAGATTGAGGTCTCCTCCTCCCCCCCCCCCTCCAAATCCGATCTAAAAATCTAAACCTTTTATGTTGATAAATTCTAATATAATACATGTATATATATATATACATCATATAAATATATGTATATTATGTATACATGTATGTAAATCGACATGGTATATTTGTCGCAGTTCTATTGCACATTCTGGTGAGTGACCTCATTCCACTTAGGCACCGAAATGCAACTTAGATATAAAAACAACAGTATAATACAAGTAATTACGATGTATCAGAAGCAGGTAAGTTCCCAACCATGTCAAAGGTTGATGCATTTTAAGTCCCCATCAAACCATCCAAACAAATTAGGCCATAAGGAGGCGGCAGGGGGAAAGCATCGACTTCGGTCAATCTCGTCTGCCGGGACCAACTCAGGCGGCGTGGGATAAAGCTACTCGGTAGAAAGACGAAAGCGACCGATGATATAAACTTCTCAATGTGGAATTTGCACTTACACCTCTAGGCTACGATAAAGTGCCGACTTTTTCTCTGGCCTTGTGCCCACTGATAAGTGGGACGGATACTGCAGAAGCTGATGAGAGACGGAGAAATCTGTCCATCACTTATATCTAGCGGTTGGATTACCTTCCTCCTTATAAAAAAGCGCCTCATCCCTAGACCACAAAATATCTCAATAAACCTTGCACCGGTCGAACAAACATCTGTATAGCATGTCTGTCATCATCGTATTTTTTCTTGTTTTTTCTTGTTGTTTTTTTAAACAGCAGGTGTTTTCCTTTACGCCTACATCAAATTAATCAAAACAATTATATTTTTTAACGTCCTTCAGAGCCAACCCGGGCTGAGAAGGATACCATCAGAAAGACAGATCCACTCAGGAATCAAACCCAGGTCTTCTGCTTGCACCGGCAAAAACGGTTAACTGTTACACAACAGACGAAAGTAAACACAAAACAAGGACGACGGAGAATACTGAAACACCTCAAACAGCCAGAATTCAAGAATGTCCCCAAAGATAAATATAAAAAAAGAAAGTCCCCAAGAGTATTCAAACTGTGAATTGTCTGCACTGTATACCATGCATCCCTGCCAACTATATTAACAGGGCTGATGTTTCTTAGCTTAATGTCATAGTATGTAAATAATTGAGTTTGCTTTCTTTTGTGCAATAGATTAATCTACCATTAAATATGTCATCTGTAGACTACACTAAATCGAAAAGATTATGAAAACACAGGCTCCTCCATGATTTATGAAGGAAAAACGAAAGGACCAGCAGACCCCATTTAAAAGTTCTTATGATTTGTTGCTTTTTTATTGGGAGGGGGTGGGGACGGTGTGTTGGTGGGGTGGGGGGATAGTCATCTAGCAGAAGCATGACATTATCAAAACCAAAAATAAAACAACCAAACGAAAAAATGCAGGGTTGTTGTGGGTTGGTTTAAAAAAATATATTTTTTTGGGTTTTGGGGAGGTAAAATGTCAAGTTTTGACTGCACAGGAATAACGGTACATCATAAAAAGACTCGAGAAAAACCCCCAAAAACAATTGGTCTAGACACGTCATTCATCTTAAACTGCGTGCAAAACTCACATATTCAAAAACTTATTTTATATTCCCAAAACTGTGATAGCACTCAGCAGAGATTTTAGAAGATTAACAAGAAAAACGAACATGAACATTCTAAAATGAATTTATAAAAATATATTATATCTCATTACAGATGCCTGGACCTATGTGTTTGTGTGACAGTACGCATGATGAGTGTTTATGTGTGTGTGTGTGTGTGTGTGTGTGTGTGTTTG